TGGGACAGTAAGAATTACCAAATCATTACCTGGTTTCGCAATACTTCTGTTACCTCTATCAGTCTTCAGTTTGGTCGCTTTCAGCTTGACTCTGTCACTACTCCTGCCAAAGACATCTGGGATTTCTTGAAAGACCGATACCAGACTACTGGTCTTGCTCATCAATATCAACTTCAAAAAAAAAATTGAAAAGTCGAGAGGCACGTGACCCCCTCGCCCCATGTCCCTTCACCCCTAGTTTCAAGATTTACTTTGATACAAGTTGATGTCAATTAATGACTTTTTTGATGTTGATTAGATTGTTGATTGAAGGAAACAGTTTGATGATATAACTGGAAATCAAAGGAGGTGGTTTGTTGTATAATTTAAAGATTCATCGAGTACTTTGCTGAGAGATTTCTTGTGAAAGATGTTACTATGTTTTCAAGATAGGTGAAACAAAAAATGGGTCTATACAATTGATTCTTTGTGAAACAAAAAATTAAGTGGTGTGCGTATAAAGATATTAATTTAAGGTATAATTGAAACATATGAGGGGTGAATCGAGAACAAAAATATAAAATTAATTTTATACAGGTGTGCATTGAAAAATTACATACACAAAAATAAATAAATAAATAAAAATGTGTGACCGTAGAAATTGCCAAAATTATGGTGACGCATGCGTATTGTTTTGGAGTTGGGGCTTATTTAAAGGGGCTCTTGTTTTTGTGAGAGAGAGAGAGAGAGCGACAGAGAGTGAAAGTTTTGTTTTAAGATCATAAAGAGAGAGAGAGGAGTCGAGTTTTGTTCTTAGAGAAAGAGTGAACTGAGGAGAAGATGGGAAGCGGAAAAAAGAAAATTGAGATTAAAAGAGTGGAGAAGGAAGGGCAGAGAATGGTTACATTCTCTAAGAGACGCCATGGTCTCTTCAACAAAGCCCGACAACTCCGATCCCTCACCGGCGCCGACATCGCTATCCTCACCTTCTCCCCCGCTGGCCGTCCCTACACTCACAGCGAACCCTCCTTCGACGCCCTTGTCGACCGTTACCTCAACACCGCCGCCGCCGGAGAGAAGGCAGAAGAGGGTTGTGAGGCTGCCGCCGCGAACCACCACCGGTTGAGTTCGTGGTTGGATGCTCTGCAATTCGATGCGAGTGATAGCATTGAAGATGTTAACATATAATATACTTTATACTTTCATAATGCATTAGTAGCTGTACATGTGCATTAGGAGCTGTAATGTACATGTGCATTAGGAGCTGTACATGTGCATTAGGAACCAGCATGTGCATTAGGAGCTGTACATGTGCATTAGGAACCAGCAAAGGTGTAAAGGCGGCCAACACCCACTACCAGCAAAGCTTTAGATTACACTTTGATATTATTGTAATATATTACCTTATGTCTTCGTACTCCATTGTATCTTTCTCCTCTCTATAAATAGAGAGACCTAATTCTCTTGTAAATGTAGACAAACAACAACATACATTGAATATACAAAATCCTTCATTTCAGTCTCTTCCTTTTTCTCTCCCTCTCTACCAATTTTACATGGTATCAGAGCCCAGAAATACAACTCTGGCATCCTTCAATTTTGGTGCTTAGTCCCGTACACAGTGGAACTACACCAAACAGCTCGGAATCTCCTTACGATTCCAACGGCACCAAGCCCATCACCAGAAACGCCGCACGCCCTCTCTGCTAACGTGCGCCGCACGCCTTCTCTGCTAATGTGCGCCGCTGACATCATTTTTCATCCTGCTGACATCATCTCTACACAGCCCACCTTTCCTAGCTATTTTCGACCTTCCGGACTCACTGGTACACTCTGTTTTACCTAATTTTGCTCCTACAGGTCTATCACCATCAATTTAGCCCTACTCAACTGTTATTATGGATCGTCATGATGCCTCCCATCGCATTTCCGTTATTTTGAATGGTTCCAACTATGTTCTATGGGCCCAAGCCATGTCTTCCTTCCTCAAAGGAAAGAAGCTCTGGCGAATTATCACCGGGGACATGACCCAACCGGTCAAAGACACTGCTGAAACCACTATTTCTCTTGCTACTCCTACATATGAAGATCGCCTTGAGGACTGGGACAGTAAGAATTACCAAATCATTACTTGGTTTCGCAATACTTCTGTTACCTCTATCAATCTTCAGTTTGGTCGCTTTCAGCTTGACTCTGTCACTACTCCTGCCAAAGACATCTGGGATTTCTTGAAAGACCGATACCAGACTACTGGTCTTGCTCATCAATATCAACTTCAGAACCAACTTCATCAGATGCGCCAAGAATCTAGTCAGTCCATCAATGACTTCCTTTCTCAAATGCACTCCATTTGGGACCAGCTTGCTCTTTCCGAACCGACTTGGCCTCACCGTGAAGATGCTGTTTTATTCACTACTTATCGTAATCAGCAAAGGTTGGTGCACTTTCTCATGGCTCTCACTTCATCTTTTGAGCCCGTACGTGCCTCTCTTCTTCATCGCCATCCCTTACCCACTCTGGAACAAGCTATTTCTGAGTTGCTATCAGAAGAGACTCGTCTTGGTACTCTCCAAACTCATCATGTGGATTCTGTTCTTGCCACTCCCTCGTACCGGCCATCATTCCCCCAGCGGACCACTGCCTGCCTCTATTGTCAGAATCGGGGCCTTTTTTATTTAAACAAATTAATTCCACACAAAAAATTAAATTTCTATAACACTCCAATAATTAAGATACTGAAACAGAATTTGAATTAATGAACACTCATAAATTATTTTTGAAAACCAAAAATTAATTTCTAACAAACTTCACAAATAAATATTCTGAATTGTTAATGACACCAGTATATTATTACTAGTTGTCAAAGAAAATAGACAGTATATTACTACTATATGTCAAACAGTATATTAATAAATATTGCTCTAAGCACATGGATGGATCTAGGAGGCGGTCGCACCTATGTATATTATTATACTAGTAATAGTAAAATAACTTTAAAAAATGAGAAGTTATATGTATTTGTCTTCCAAAGTTTGAATGATAATCTATCATTGTCTAAGCAGTTATAGCGTCGGCTTTGTCTATACTACTGTAACTGTTGTTTTACAATAGTATAGATAGATATACAGTTTTATATGGATTAGGCTTCTTTCATGTTAACTTCTTAACATGAGAGAATTTAAACGGCTCGTGGAGCCCACTATAGGTCCTATTTCGATGAATCGAACCGTTCACTTTTTAGAACTCGTTGAGTAGAATTTTTATGCAAAAAATCAAAATAATCGGACATCGGTAGTTATATGTTTGAACCAAATTTATATTATAAAAAATAGGTGGTTATTATTGAAATCATATTTGCGGTCCACTTTTTCAAAACATATAGCTATTGATGTTCAATCATCTTGATTTTTTACATGAACATTCTACTCAACGAGTCTAAAAATTGGAACGATTCTAATCAAAATCGATTTTAAAATGAGTTTATCAAATCCAAACACTCTCTCAAAATGATTCTTTACTTCAGCCTGTGTTTGTGGGGGAGGTAAAAAGTCACTCTGTCCTCTGATAAACACATGCAGGGGTGGGCACAATCAGTAGCAGGATCCTCCTCAAAAGCATGAAGCATGCATTACTCTCAAAATGTTTTGTAATTACATTCATATCTGTATGAATTTACTTTTACTCTCGTGAATCTCTCTATAGGAACACGAGATTTATTCTATGTCTTATTCGTTAAGTTTCAATGTTCACTATATTCTTGGGCAACTTATATGTCATTCTTGTAATTTGTATCAATTTTACTTTTAATCTTTTACAATTTATAAATTTAAACCATGTGATAATATCGCGTTAAAAAAAAAAAGGACAAAAACTAAGAGTAAAATGATGCATTTAAAAGAGAATGAATGATTTCAAATTGGATGTCACGCCGTTATTCAGTTTGAAAAGAGTGAATGAAATATGCTGCCTATTTATTTCAATCTAATTTCTGAACAGAATTTATCAATTGAACTAAACTAACATATCATGAAAATTTTAAAAACAAAATTGAAGTTATACCAATTAGAAAAATTAAATTAACATAATAAACAAATTATAGAACTGTAGATGAAATTTGTCTAAATTCTTATATACATGTTTGAAATTTTAGTTCTGCATTGAATCTAGTGAGATTTTTCTTCTTGAATTTTAGATACATTTTATTTATTTAAGCAAAAGACATATTTTAAAATATTTTTATGACAAAAATCAAATGTGAAAAAAAATACTTATTTTGGCTAGAAAATATTTTGTGAGACATGCCAATCTAATCATGGCCATTAAAAAAAAAATGCAATGCTAGTGATATAAAGTTTTCTACCAAACACTTACATGAGTGAGACATATTATATTCATGTGAGTATTTGATAACAAATTTAGAGTATGTAGCATTTTTGTTAAAAAAAATATATTTTCTAGACCTAACAAGACATATAATATTCATTTTTTTTTTTAACTCCATTAACCACTCTTAAATTTAGAAAAAAATAAAAATAAATACCAAGCGTTTGGAATTATTACATAACCTCCATTTTAGTAAGATTAAAATTAAACATAAATAATTCATAGGGTGGGTAAACAGTGGCGGAGCTAGAAATTTGATATAGGGGGGTCACCTATTAATTATAATCTCAAAATTTTTCTTTCCCAATCAATAACAACTCAGTGTTTGATTCAGTGAAATGAGCATTTAGTTCTTAAATTTGCATATCCAAAATAGTGTAGAATAATTCAGCACGATAGTGATGTAGGTTTGTAATTTCTTGAGCATTGTGCATTTTTCTCCCTCGAGCTATAAACATATCATTCATTTGGAGAACATCAATTTCATGCTTTTATGTATATTAATATTAATAAATTTAAAATAAGAGCAAAATAAAAAAATTCATGTTATTTTAATTTTTAATTTTTTTTAAAATAATTAATATTTTAAGATAATAAAAAATAAAATAAGAAATTAACATTTTAAAATGAAAAGGAATAAAATTTATAATCTTTATAATTAACAACAGATCCATCGAGGGTACATATACCACTATATAGGTTTATTTTAGAAAATTAATTAAAAGTTAATTTTTTTTACTTTTTAATTTTTTTTAATTATATTATTTCTCTATTTTTTTTATAAAAATTAAAAAATTAATTTTTAACCTATTTGTGTCATAATCAGCCTACAAAGAGATACATGGCAAAATCCTATTAAATACTAATTTCTGTCTATATATATATCAAAAATATTTGGGATCCCATTTGGAGATGACCCCACACTCCCAAAGTGATCCTGACTCTCTATGTATGTGTGGGGTTCACTCATATATGTGTGAATTCTACATTATGAGTGGTTTAGATTTATAGAATATTGTGAGAGTGAGGCCCACTTAATCATTGCTCATATGTATATCCATTAAAAAAATGCCGGAGGCACTGGTGATTACATCCTCTGAGAGTAGCAAATTTCATCTTTAATATACACACACACTACATAACACATAACCAAAAAAAAAATAATAATAATAATAAAAAAATAAAATAAAATGAAAAGTCACGGGGGCACGTGACCCCCTCGCCCCATGTCCCTTCACCCCTGGTTTCAAGATCTACATTGATATAAGTTGACGCCAATTAATGACTTTTTCGATGTTGATTAGATTGTTGATTGAAGGAAACAGTTTAATGATATAATTGGAAATCAAATGAGGTGGTTTGTTGTATAATCTAAAGATTCATGGAGTGCTTTGCTGAGAGATTTCTTGTGAAAGATGTTACTATATTTTCAAGATAGGTGGAATAAAAAATGAATCTACACAATTGATTCTCTGTGAAATAAATAATTAAGTGGTGTGCGTATAAAGATGTTAATTTAATGTATAATTGAAACATATGAGGGGTGAATCGAGAATAAAAATATAAAATTAGTTTTATACAAGTGTGTATTGAAAAATTACATACACAAAAATAAATAAATAAAAATGTGTGACCATAGAATTGCCAAAATTGTGGTGACGCATGCGTATTGTTTTGGAGTTGGGGCTTATTTAAAGGGGCTCTTGTTTTGAGAGAGAGAGAGAGAGAGATTGACAGAGAGTGTGAAAGTTTTGTTTTAAGTGAAACTGAGAATCATAAAGTGAGAGAGAGAGGAGTCGAGTTTTGTTCTTAGAGAAAGAGTGAAACTGAGGAGAAGATGGGAAGCGGAAAAAAGAAAATCGAGATTAAAAGAGTAGAGAAGGGCGGGCAGAGAATGGTGACATTCTCCAAGAGACGTCAGGGTCTCTTCAACAAAGCCCGACAACTCCGATCCCTCACTGGCGCCGACATCGCTATCCTCACCTTCTCCCCCGCTGGCCGTCCCTACACTCACGGCGAACCCTCCTTCGACGCCCTTGTCGACCGTTACCTCAACACCGCCGCCGCCGGAGAGAAGGCAGAAGAGGGTTGTGAGGCTGCCGCCGCGAACCACCACCGGTTGAGTTCGTGGTTGGATGCTCTGCAATTCGATGCGAGTGATAGCATTGAAGATTTGGAAATCTTGAAGAAAGGGCTTGAAGAGATCGCAGCGAAAGTGGCTGAGAAAATTGATGACGTTTTTGTTGATTCTTTGCTCGTTTGATGATGAATTTAATTGAATTATATGATGTAATTAAGCATTTTTTTTTATATTAGGTATGGCTTATAAGCTGTTTGACAAGTTGACTCACTCAAATTTTGTTTAGGATTATGTATGTAATGTTAGTATGTTCCACCATTCATTATGAGAAGAGTTGAATTTATTCATCCCATTATATGGGAAAAACCGTTTGCCTGTTCTTCACTTTTCTTGTGTGACAACTAATTAAGAAATTAATGTTCTTCATTTGTTTGCCCTATCTCTCTCTCCCTCCCTCCACAGACACAGCATATATACATGTACATATCTATATATATACTCCTCTGTGTTCATTCAAATTGCTTGAATTTGAAATTTTGTATTCCTCTGTTCTATGTTTTTATTTTTATGCTAGAAATTGCTTGAATTCAGCCACCAATTTCATACTCTCTTTCTCTTGGATATGAATTTATAAGCTTATATTAGAATGCAATAAGAGAAGCAGCCTTGTATATACTAAACATAAAAGATACAAAGCATCTTTTGTCAGTGTTCTTTTTATTTTAATAAAAGCATCATTCATTACTCATATATAGAAGCAATGAAAAATTAAGGGTAGAGTTATAATTCAAGCCGAAAATGTTGGCACATGAATAAAACCAGACTCTCTTTACTTACAGATTCATTAGTACCAGACTATCATAAAACTTATAGGATAGATTCACAGATTTTCTGTTGTGAGTCCCCGTCGCTTCTCAAAGTTGAAGCGCCGATTTCAGACTCCTCTTCCAACTTCACTTGTCTCTCTAACCACCACCCCCAAATGCTGTGTAATGGTGTTTTGTGTTTGATAATTGGTAGCTGCAATACAAGTACTGTCTGTTAATAGTGTGTCTTCCTGTTTTTTTGTTTTCTGCCTTTCAATTTGTTTTCTTCTTTGTAAGGTTCGGAAACAAAGCTTGCAGATGTTGATCTCGCTTTAGCAGTCAAGGTGACGTTTTAATCCCACCTTACATGAATGTTCAAATACCAATTATTTGTTGGTAAATTTTTAAACCTGAAGAAAATGCTTTCAAGATGCTTCCTTTTGGAAGCAAGAAGAATTATCTTTTCACTTAACATTAGTAGGAGGTGAGAAATAATTTTATATGGTTTGAAATGCTAATTTTTACTGTTCAATGCCATGAAAACTAGTATGGGGAAACTTCTCCTGATGCATTGCAATATTACTACTTTGACAGGTACCTGTGCAATCCTATCGCAAAATCAGGAGAAGCTCTTTCAGCTTGAAATATGGTAGCTGAGTTTTTTTTTTTTTTTTGTTTACTTGGTGTGCAGTGATAATTTCGTTGAGGAAGCTGCAGGTGGTGGATCTGCTGGGAAATCTTTTAGAGAGAGAGATAAGGAAGGATTTTCTGAATCAGAGGTAACTTATAGGATAGATTCACAGATTTTGTGACGTGAAAATGCACAATTGCACATTATTGAATAGGGTAGAAATCAGATTGTCCTTAGTGATATCCCCTCTTCATCAGATAAACTGTTTGGTGCAAATTGTTTTATATATAAATATATAGGTTGATATGCTGAGTAATTATTATGCTGACGATTGTGTAATGCTCTGTACATGTTTGTTAATTTTCATTCTTTAGCTTACTGGTTTTTTACTCTGTCAATTTTCAATCTATATATATAGACACACACATACATACAGATACAAATTTTTAGTATTAGCTTACTGGGTTTTTACTCTGTCAATTCTTAATGTATAATAATATTTGCACTAGAATGTCTTCCTTTTAATCATAGAGAATTGATGCCTTTACTGGTCTATCTTCCTGCCATAACTTGCCATGATCGATTGATCTCATTTTCATGGCTCCAATGTATTGATGACATCTTGTGAACGTATTTATTTATTTATTTTTTAGCCCGATGTTGACAAGATGCTCATCAAAGAAAGTTGTCAATATATATATTATACAATTTTCCGTATTGATGCGAACTTTAAAACTGTGGTAATGCCAATTGATACTTCTTCATTAGGTTTGTTTGGTGCAACTATTTATGATGTATTGATGACATTTTGTGAACGTATTTATTTATTTATTTTTTAGCCCATTGTTGACAAGGTGCTCATCAAAGAAACTTGTCAATACAAACCGAGCATTGAGTGATAAGCAAAAAATGCGATTACACTTCTTGGCTTTGAATCATTTCTTAACTTGCGATTTGAAAGCTTGCCAAGGGATGTTTTGACACAGTTAGTGCATTGATTTAATCTAAACAAGTGCTCCATCTAGCTTGGCTATGGTCAAGCCTGGGGACGAATAAACTTGATGGCACAACAATTGCTATTTCAAATGGTCACAGACTCGGGCAATAATATTAGAGGTGATATCTTTGAGAAGGCCAACAATCAATGAGTACCTATTATGAACCATGTCTGGATAAGGAACAAGTTCAAGTGGTGGTTGTATTTAAGTATTGTACTAGAAGGATGTTTATATTTGTCATTTTATTACTAAACATGTTATCATGGTTAAACTTATTGTTCATGCGTAGGTTATCCAACTTAAATCTTTTGTAATTAATGAATGTGAAAGAAGTTGTTATGGATCATTATTGTTGTAGTTAAGTTTGTATGAAAATTGAGATTCATTTAGTTTGCATAATATTATGGACAGTTGTCTTTTGTTTTTTTGTTTGATAACCAAGTGTTCGGGTCAACTACGCACACCTCGACTAATTCTGAGACTCACGCAATGTGCCCTCTCCACGTGGATCGGACAAATCTCGAGTAGAGTTTGAAGGTGTGAACCGTTGCCTTTTATTCAAACAAATGTAGCTTTCATAGTATGCAACACTGGTGAATGGTGAGATTCTCAAAAAGGTTGTAAGTGGAGCTTGTGTGAACGGTGCAACTGCAACCGCTGCAGGGAGCAAATCTATGCAGTATATGGTGCAAAATACGGATGTGAAAAACCATTCACATATTTACTATAAATCACGAAACTTCCAAAACACAAAATTTAGCATGTGTTTGGCCCTACGGTCATGGAAACACGTTTGAGAATGTTAAAAAGGTTGCAAGTGGAGCCTGTGTGCACAGTGCTAGTAGAATGGAACCTGTGCGTGGTGCAAATGTAGCTTGTGCATAGTGCAATGTATATATTGTGCACGGTGCAAAATGTGGATTGTGCATGGCACAAAGTATGGACTGTGCATATAAACTGTAAATTATTAGACTTTCCAAACACAAAACAGTAGTTTATAGTGAATAACAACCTATATAGTTTATATGCATCAATTAATATACTAATTAGTGTATCAATTGATAATGTGATATAATTTAAGAAATTTTTAATATTTTTAATTTGTATAATGAATGAAGTTAATAATAATGTCACAACTAACATTAATACACTACTTAGTATACTAATTAGTGTATGTAATACTACGGATAGTTTACATATCTGTAAAAAGCATGGTGCATAGTCCGCAACAAATTAGAAGGATAATAAAGTAGCTAGTGAACAACAACTCAAGAAAAAAAACATTTGATAGACTAGGGTCATGTCCTATAATTGACAATACTCAAACAACTTAATAATGTACGATGAACTAAAATTGCCCCCGTCATGTCTCATTTAAATATATGTATTGTATAAATAGTAGTAAAAAAATTATGCATTGTTCCGATCAACCGATAGGACGATTGGTTAGTCTAAATTTTCCTGCCTTGAACAGAGTTTTCAAAAGTGAACGTAGAATTAATTTTTAAAAACCATAAATAAATACAGTGTGCAAATTAAAATCTGGAATTAACGTTCCAAACTCTACCAAACAGGGCCTAAAATTACAATTGTGTTTGTTTGGGCCTAGTGTAGTTAACACCACTGTTTTGGCCGAATTCTCACTCTAGTGTCGGTCTAGGTAGGAGAAAGCCCCCAACTTCAAACCCTCACCTCTCTCAGGCTTCACCGCCATTGGAGAACCTTGAACAACTTACACTATTTTTCTCTATCAACTACTCTCACTCCAATTTGACCTTCCAAGAGGCTCTCTAGTTGGGAGGCTGTCTGCATAGTACCGTTGAAGTCCTGTAGCCCTCTCCTTCTCATAACTTAGCCTCAAAGGTATGGAACACTCTCTCTGTGCAACTAGTTGAACCTCAGTCTGGGAAACCCTAGGATGTGAATTGGTTGTTCTGTTTGTTGATTTGGTAGTTTTTTTTTTTTTTTTTTTTTTTTTGGAACAGCAACAAAACCAATTAAAAATAAAATGTGAAAACAAGAGGACAAGTAGTCCTCCTACAAGAAAACAAAACTAAAAAGCCGAAGGAATGGCAACTAAAACATAAAACAATTCACCACTAGGAGTGACAAAAAGCAGCCCAATCCCTATAAATCAAACTGATGCAAGATGCTTTGCCCTATCCCAAATAGCTTCAACCTCAGATTCCTTTCTCATTGAAAATCCTGTCATTTCTTTCCAACCAAATGGTCCAAAAAATGGCAAAGATGATGCAAGCCCACAATGTCTTGGCTTTCTTATTGCTTCCGAATCCTTTGTAGGAAACCTATAACAAATGCGTACACACATGCGGAGCAATCCACAGCTCATCACAAAGACCAAAAAGATGCTGCCATAGTGCAATAGCCACCGGGCAATGTAGGAACAAATGATCCACAGCTCATCACAAATACCTAAAAGATGCTGCCATACTTTCCAATTTTGGAATGTATTGGGAATGTTTTTACAAGTCACTAATATTCATTCTGATATCCCCACTATCTATCCTCAATTTATTCTCGATTTTTACATTTTTGTCAGAGCATCCTTGTTCCACTCCAGCCAAATGTAGTAGTCACACTGATTTCTTCTGTTCTATAATTCCTGTAGTTCACAACTCCTATCTTATTCCTTCCCCTTGATTCATCAAATTAACTTGATTTTCTTATATAGAGGATCCTGGAAACTGTCTCAACTCAGAACAGTTGCATTTCCGTTGTTTATTTATTTAAGCATCTAGTTAGTGAATTAACTAAACATTGTGGTATTGCTGTTTCGTATACAAACACCAATAGATTGTGTCTCTGCAATCTACATGGTTTTATCGCAGAGGCGTGGGCATGCCACAGCTGATGTTCCTCAACCCCGAACCCCAGCTTATATTGTCAAGGTTTGGTCTTTAATTTTTTTTCCAATAACGATTAAGCCTCTTAATATTTTATGCCTAACCCTTTGTTAGTAGTGTTACCCATTAATTCAAATCTCGTTGAAATTCGAAAGCCCATCATAGCTAAATACTCCTGTTTGAATAATCATTTTCATTTATATTGTGTTCCTTTTCTTTCTTGAAATTCCAGGCATTTTTACCTGTGATCGAATCATTTGGCTTTGAGATAGACCTGAGGTATCATACCCAAGGCTCATTCAACACCTGGCTCGTGAGTTTATGGTGAAGACAAGACGTATAAAGGTATTAATATACTCCGTCATCCTCCTGCTATCCAAGTCTTAGTTTTCATAACTTGCACTTCTGATTTGAACACAAAAGAAATGTGGAAACATGAGACATGATTCTCTAATAGTAATGTGCGAAAGTGTGTTTCGCCTAAGAAGCACAGCCATGCAACACAACATAGATGCACCAATATGTTGATTTTAAAAAAATGCAGGACACGAAACGTTTGGGACATGTTAAAATTTTATAATACGTCATATATATAGATAACACTAATTATATTAAAAATTGTATATTTCATAGCTTAAATATCAAGATATCATTCACGAAACAATTATGTTATAAAGAATGCAAACCAATTATATAACGTTGTAATACACATGATGTATTTGTCTTATAAATGTTGTAAGAGTGCATGACTTGTGTTACGAAGAAATCAAAATATTGTTATTATTAAGGGATTCATCACGTAGGACGTGTTTGGAAAGTTCAAGAAGTGTTGCCAAAGTGTCTATGAAGCGTCAGATATTATGACACATTGAAGAAGTGTTGGACACATTTTTACGAGTGTCCAGACTTCCTCTGTTGAAGTATCTGTGCTTCTTGGTCTTTCGCAATATGCATCTTGAAAGATGCATGTAATTTTTAATGAATCTGGCATATAGATTTCATGAATAATGTGCAAACGAAAGTACACACATTTGACCCTCCTTAGACTTGTGGTGGGAGTCTCGTGCATTGGGACTGCCCTTCATGTGGAAACAAATAGATTTAAGACTGATGAGTTGTTTACATTGATCTTTGGCAGGGAATCAGCAAAGATGTGAGCATCAACAAGTTTTTCGATGAGGCCATGGTGGTAGAGCTATCTCAGCAGGCGACTGATCTTCATCAGCAAATGATTTAAATGGGAAGACTCTAGGCTCCAATGGAAGGAGATGTGTTTTTTTTAGTAGTCATTGGTGTACTCTTATTGAAGCTATGAATGTCTTTCTTTTAGGTTCACCAACATGACAATTTCCTCATAAATTCCTATTACTAGAGAAAGAAAAAACAGGGGAAAAAAGGTTAAGAACTTGTAGATGTTGAATTATGAAATGTTTTTTTATTATTTTTTTTATAGAAAATTGTGCTATGGTTGTCTGGTGTTTTGTTTGGGTTCTCTTGCAGTATTTTAGTGCAATATTGAAGGAATTTCCTGGCAGTGTTTTTCTGGATTGGCAAATTTTTGTTTGCCTCTCTCAAATGTTGAACAAAATTTAATTTAATTGTCCTTGTTTGGGAGTCGACTACTTTAGTTAGCTTTTTACGAAAACATGTGCAAAAAAATAAAAAGAATAATGTGATAACCTATAGTGATTTTTTTGACTTTTTGGTTAAAAATCATACTCCCCAAATGGGGCATGACCATATGACAGAGTAAATTGATGAAAAAGGCTTTGTTTGTTTTGGAACTTAGTCAAATATATTACACCAGCTGTCCCAAAATAATAGTCTCTTTTGGGGAATTTAATTTAATTTTTTGGTATATAATTATTGCACTTTAAAAATATTAATTTTTTAAAATTATCATTTGATAGTACATTTTTTTGAAAATATCAATTGTCATAATTGTATTTTTTGTGTTAATGAATTTAAAAGAATGGCAAAATAAGAAATTTATATTATTTTAGTTCTTGATTTTTGAAAATGGACTAATATTTTGAAATAATAAAAATGAAATAAGGGATTAATATTTTGAGACGAAGTAAATATATATTTGTTTTTCGGATTGTGACAAACCCATTTCAGACCTTCCATTCTTTCCTAGCATAGTTCAAGAAGTATTGCCAAAGTGTTTATGAAGCGTCAGATATTATGACGCATTGAAGAAGTGTTGGACACATTTTTACGAGTGTCCAGACTTCCTCTGTTGAAGTATCTGTGCTTCTTGGTCTTTCGCAATATGCATCTTGAAAGATGCATGCAATTGTTAATGAATCTGGCATATAGATTTCATGAGTAATGTGCAAACGGAAGTACATACATTTGACCCACCTTAGACTTGTGGTGGGAGTCTCGTGCATTGGGACTGCCCTTGATGTGGAAACAAATAGATTTAAGACTGATGAGTTGTTTGCATTGATCTTTGGCAGGGAATGAGCAAAGATGTGAGCATCAACAAGTTTTTCGATGAGGCCATGGTGGTAGAGCTATCTCAGCAGGCGACTGATCTTCATCCGCAAATGATTTAAATGGGAAGACTGTAGGCTCCAATGGAAGGAGATGTGTTTTTTTTGGTAGTCATTGGTGTACTCTTATTGAAGCTATGAATGTCTTTCTTTTAGGTTCGCCAACGTGACAATTTCCTCATAAATTCCTATTACTAGAGAAAGAAAAAACAGGGGAAAAAAGGTTAAGAACTTGTAGATGTTGAATTATGAAATGTTTTTTATTTATTTATTTTTTTTATAGAAAATTATGCTATGGTTATCTGGTGTTTTGTTTGGGTTCTCTTGCAGCATTTTAGTGCAATATTGAAGGAATTTCCTGGCAGTGTTTTTCTGGATTAGCAAATTTTTGTTTGCCTCTCTCAAGTGTTGAACAAAATTTAATTTAACTTATTTGACCCCGTTTGGGAGTCGACTACTTGAGTTAGCTTTTTACGAAAACATGTGTAGTAAAATAAAAAGAGTAATATGACAATTTATAGTGATTTTTTGACTTTTTAGTTAAAAATTGTACTCCCCAAATGAGGCATGAGCGTACGACAGAGTAAATTGATGAAAAAGACTTTGTTTGTTTTCGAAGTTAGTCAAATATATTACACCCACCGTCCCAAAATAATAGTTCCTTTCGGAGAATTTAAATTTTTTTTGGTGTACAATTATTGCATTTTAAAAATATTAATTTTTTAAAATTACCCTTTAACAGTACATTATTTTAGAAATATCAATTGTCATAATTGTATTTTTTGTGTTAATGAATTTAAAAGAATAGCAAAATAAGAAATTTATATTATTTTTGTCATTGTTTTTTAAAAGGGACTAATATTTTGAAGAGTGCAGCTATTAGCACTCCAATAATTATTTTAGACCCCCAATTATAAATTTTAAAACCCTTTAAATTTCTTTTCTCCTCCCAAATAATATCAAAATTATCCTTGTAAAAATATTTCGCTCATTCAATTGAATGCACACCCCCACACCCCAAAATGCCTCTCTCTCAAAATAACATCCATAGGTACCATTGACAAAGTTTACTATTTAAGGATCAATTTTGTTAATGTGTAATTTTAAGATTGCATTCGAATTATAAATTTGAAAAGAGATTTGAAAATATATATAAAAATAAAAAATAAAAAGAAAAGTGAACAAAATTTAGTTATATTTCATTTACTTTTTCCTTCATATTTATTTTCTCCCTATAAATCTTTTCTCAAATTTTTGATTCAATACACCTTAATAGAGATTTTTCGAATTCCTCTATCTTTTTGTTTTCTTTCTTCAAAGCATCATAGACATTCAATTATGTAAGAATTTTCAAGGCATGGGAATCTCAGATGTTAATTTGATTATAAATGTTTTGGGATAAGAAAATAAAAATGTGAAAATAAACAATCATGTGCTGTCGCGTATGTTCAATTATAAAAGGACAAATTACATTTGCAATTCTTGTAATTTGCTTCTTGGCTTAATTTGGTTTCTATAATTTTAATTGTGTCAATTTTGTGCTTCTCATATTATATCAATTTTGTCTAATTGATAACACCTCTTTAAAAATTAACTTCAAATCAAAGGGCAAAACAATTGATTCACCTTACTCAAATTGATTGGGTGACTAATGTCCAATTCGATATGATTTATTACCTTTTCAAATGGATCATTTTGCCCTTAATTTCTATGCACTTTCTTAATAAATATTATCTATTGAACTGAATTAATAGAATCTGAAAAACTAAAGAGTAAAATTAATATAATTTAAACTATAGAGCCCAAATTGATATTAAGAAAATTACAAAATCCACCACAATCATAATTTGTCCATTACAAAATGAAAAATGACAAAATCAAAGGAATTAGGGTATTTTTGAAAATGAGATCTCATAGCTAAGGTTATAGGTAGCTAACTAGGGTTTTTTCAACTTTAAAAAGTGAAGGAAAGTGTGGGGGAGATTTATACTAAACCTTTTGCAATTTGCATAGGGTTCTCTATCAAAGTCACTCTTTTAAATTTTTTTTATGCCTTAATGTTGCAATACTGTGTCTCGTTATTTTCGCCTCTTCAGTCAATATTCGAATTTTTCTCTTCTACTCAAATATATCCTTCTATTGCATGACTAAATACGGTCCAGTTTTTGGAATGACTATCAACTCATCCCCTTCTTCTTCTGATATTATCATCTCATCATCTTTATCCTCTCATCAAATGGAAACCTCTCATCTTCTGATCACCGCCCATAAACTGAATGGGCAAAATTATTTGCAATGGTCTCAATCCATATTAATGTTTATACGGGGAAAGGAGAAAGATGACTACATCACCGGAGCCTCGGCGCTACCAGAAACCACAGCATCAACCTACAAAAGGTGGATAGCTGAAAATAATATGGTCATGTCGTGGCTCGTCAACTCTATGACCACTGACATTTGCGAAAATTTTCTGTCATTTGATACTGCCAAAGAGATCTGGGACATGGCAAAAGAAACATTTTCGGACAAGGAAAACACATCTGAAATCATCCAGCTTGAAAGCTCCCTCCACGATTTACGTCAAGACAATCTTACGGTAACTGAATATTTCAATACCCTTACTCGTCTATGGCGTCAACTTGATACGTTTGAGGTTCATAACTGGCAGTGTTTTGCTGATGGTTTGTTGTATAAAAAGATTGTCGAAGGGAAGCGTGTGTTTAAATTCTTGTTAGGATTGAACACAAATCTTGATGAAATCAGAGGAAGAATTATGGGAGTAAAACCGCTACCTAGCCTTAGAGAGGCATTCTCTGAAGTCCGTTGCGAAGAAAGTCGGAAAAAACTCATGATGGGATCCCATCAACAACTGAATATGGCAGAAAGCTCGGCTCTTAAGACTCAATTCGCTCCTATTGACAACCGTCAGAAAAATAAAGGAGGTAGGCCTTGGTGTGATCATTGCAGAAAGCCGAGTCACTCGAGAGAAACTTGCTGGAAGATTCATGGAAAGCCAGCAGATTAGAAGCCACGTCAGCCTCTTGAGAAAGAAGGACGAGGTAATCATGTAGGTACAAATGAACTATCACCACAACCTGAAGCAAGCCCTTTCACAAAGGAGCAAATGGAGATGCTCCAGAAACTACTACAGTCACAATCTGGTTCGTCTTCCAACCACATCATTGGATCCAGAACCTTGGCTCACAAAGGTAATTCTTTGAACGCCTTTGCTGTTGGTAAGAAACGTAAAAAACCTTGGATTGTGGACTCAGGAGCATCTGATCATATGACGGGAGATGCAACAATTTTTGATACATATAGCTCATGTCAAAATAATTTAACGGTCCGAATAGCAGATGGTTCACTATCAAAGGTTGCCGGTATAGGTTCAGTTGTGCTGTCTAGGAATCTTATTCTCAACTCTGTTCTCCTTGTTCCTGACTTGGATTGTAATTTATTGTCAATTAGTAAACTCACTAAGGAAAAGAGGTGTGTTACTAATTTTTTCTCCACTCATTGTGAATTTCAGGATTTGGATTCGGGGAAGACGATTGGCAATGTTGAGGAATGCTCTGGATTCTACATCCTTAAGGAACGCCACTATCCACAGGAACAACCTCAAACGGCAATTCGCGGTAGTTCTTTTTCGGTTTCGTGTCAAAATAACGATAGAGCAATTATGTTGTGGCACTATCGCTTAGGTCATCCTAATGTTATGTATCTCAAGCATTTATTTCCTTCATTATTTAAAACTCCAAAACCTTTTGATTGTGAAATCTGTCAATTGTCTAAGCATGTACGGTCCCATTTTCCCATTCAATCCTATAAAGCGTCTCGTCCATTCTCACTAATTCATAGTGATATCTGGGGTCCATCAAGAATAAAAAATGTAACTGGTACTAGGTGGTTTGTCTCATTCATAGATGATCATACTAGATTAACCTGGGTCTTCCTCATGAAAGACAAATCTGAAACAAGCC